ATCGCGAGGAACAACTGCATACACTCTACCGGTCTGCTTCTCTACATCACCTGGAGTGAATGGTGCCATCTGTCTCTGCTGGATCTCCTGGACCGCTCGAACCTGTCCCTCAATCCTCGGGACTGCTGGAGGTGCCTCAATCCTCAACTGCTGGCCCTGACCGCGTCCCTAAGCGCGATTCTGCTGATGCTGCTGAGTCCTGCCCTGCTGGCCTGTTGCGGGTGCACTGCGGCACTCTGCTACTCTATGTCTAATCTTGTTATAATTGTAACAAGCTCCTTGAAATCAGTGCTGCTACTACGCTCTCTGGTCTTGAACGTTGCTACTACGCTCTCTGGTCTTGCTGATGACCCTTCTTATGGGGACCCTACTGATGCGGACCCTTACCCTGCTGATGGGGTCCTCCTGAGCCTCCAAATGGTCTTACCTTTTCCTTTCTCTTTGGACTGTCCTGATTTACCATTGTCATTACCCTTGATGAATATAGTTGTATCTGTCTCCTGAGCCATGGCAGCATCTGTCATCTCCCGCACTAACCGAAATCTCTTAGATATTATGTACCGACGTAACCCGGGACGAAGTCCCATCAGGAACATCTGAGCCTGACGCTCCTCTATGTGCCACATGCCGGTGAATCTAAGCAATGACATGAACTTACTCTCAAAGTTCATGACAGACATATCCCCCTGCTCTAATCGATCCAGCTCTAACTCTTTTCCGGCTTTCGCTGCATAGATATATAAAGGTCTCCCACGAAACCGACATCCTCTGCTCTGGGGTGAAACGAAGTCGATACCATCCTCCTACATCGCCTTTGAGGCTGAAAGCCGCTAGCCTCTGCTTCTGCACAGAATTAACATTCAACATATCTAAGATGTTGCTCACATCCTCTTTCCACTTGTGTGCAGCAATAGAATCCGTCGAACCGTGGAACTCGGGTGCTTTCAACTTCTGATACCTCTCTACCAAACGAAGCCAATTTTCCTGATCAGCAATTCCGTCATCAACTGGGGGTAGTGGTGCAACTGCTGGTGCCCTCTCTGGTATCTCCTCCCGAGCGGATGACTCCTGAATGGGTGCCTCCTCACACACGGAAGTCTCCTGTCGAACCTGGTCTGCTAGCTGCTCCTCAATAGCTGCCAGACGAGCTGCCAAGGGTGCTATGAGATCCACTAAGTACTGCGGAGCCTGCTGTGGCTCGGGCTCCCTATCATCCAGCTCAACTTCCTGAGCACGAGTAACTCGGTGTCCACGACCTCTTCCTGACATCTATAATCCCAAAATAAAGCTTATTACGCAGTAAAAAGGATCTCAAGCATGAAGGATATAACATATACCAATAAGTAAATTGTATCACATATATCTCACATCGTGCTTTATTATTCAAAGCAAATAGATCATATAAAAAAATTTTAGATTTTCCACGTACATATATAGTACGTCCTCACTCATACTAAGGATTCCTAACGGACTGTATACATGATACCTAGAAAACTCTATCCTAACACCACAATATGACACATGGATGATCCTAAGGATATTAGAACTAGAGCTCTGATACCAACTATGACGCCCCAGGGTTCACACAAGGCTGCAGTCCCAGGTAAAACCCGGATTGTCAAACCTGCCAAGCACCAACCACTATGCTACGATATGTTTCACTATCACAATCACTATCTCTCTAGTGGAAACAATAAATAGGTGAGGGTACAGACAGGAAAAAATAAAAATAGGCAACACTGGATATACACAGAAGAAGCATAAAAAATGTCAGATATGAGCCCAACTGAAATAGAATAGAAATATCCATGAGTATAAACTGGATCTCAAATACAATGAGTCAAATAAACAAAGTCTCACAAAAACCCTCAACTCTAAACTAAAATACAAATCTAGAATCTGAAAATAATCAACTACATGTGGAGTTCTGCAATTCTAAACTAAAATACAAATCTAGAATCTGAAAATAATCAACTACATGTGGAGTTCTGCAATAACTACAAGGTATAATAAGTAGCTAAATGTGGAGTTCTGCAATAACTACAAGGTATAATAAGTAGCTAAATGGACAACTAAGAAGTCCCATCAACCTGCGACTCTTTGTACGCCGGACTTGCTGCCTGAAAGAAGAGAAACAACGAGCGTTAAAGCGCTAGCGAGATCATCACTACCTCTCCCCAGGGGAAGGGGTAGGAGTATATAAGAAAATAGAGTCAGTACTTACATATATCAAATCATTCATATAGCTCTCTATGAAAAACAAATAGTCAAGGAAACATATTCAAATCTCCAACATAAAGAATAAATACATCATCTCGAATTAAATCCGAGTAGCCTGCTCTAATATAAGAGGATGTCAACCAAACCAAAACGAATATAACTGCCGTCCATAACGAGTGTGCCAAAATCTCAAAAGAAATACCCTACTCGTGGGTAATCTATCATGAAAGTAAAACTTACAACTAATCAAATATCTATGTGAGCATCATCTTGTGCTACAGCGATGCTATTGTAGTATTCTTACTCAATCGCTTTGCGGCAATAAGGTTTATCATCTCCCTATTCCGGATACATGTAATAACGATACTATTATAATACTCTTACTCAATCGTTCTGCGGCAAATAGGTTTCATCTCCCTATTTCCGAGTACATATATAATAACACTATTCATATATGTTTATCAGTTTAACTTGTGTCAAAAGTGTGTCAATCTAACATAATCTAAGCATACATGCACAAATCTCGGTGTGCGTGTCCACATCTGAAGTTCACCATTATCCCAGGTGTTCAACAACTCTTAACATTGTAGTCTATCGTTTGACAACCGAAAAACAACGCAAGTAAACATGCACAGCTAAAACCAACTAGCGGTGGACCGTGGAGGTCGACCGCGACGGGCTCCAGAGACTACCCAAGTCTCTGTCCTGCACGCGGTCGACCGTGGTGGTCGACCATGGACACACGCGGTCGACCGTGGCGGTCGATTGTGACCCAGATTTCCAGCTTCTCAGATTTTTAATATGTGTCGTGTTCACGTCTTGTTTTTGTGATTTAAATATGGTAAAAACTTCATAAATCTTGCATACAAACATGTTACAACAGATAGAAATATCTGAAAATAAAATCAACGTATATAACCACTATTTTATGCATTATATTTATATTCAAAACCCTAAAACATGCATAAAAGCTCAAAACGATGAATCAAACTTCTTTCTTTAGATTAACCACGTTTTAAAATCATCTTCAGATCTTAAATACATCTGTAAAATTTATTCTCAACCTTTTTAGCATGAAAAGACCCAATCTTTATGCATATAATACAAAAGAGTTATCTTTTATTCATAATCTAATCGTTTAGGCTCTACAAAACATGTTTAAATCTCTTTAAAAACGTTTTGAAAACTGGGAGGGGGATTAGCAGAGATGATACTCGCCTGAGATTGTCGTAAAACGTTTTAGAAGCAAGGTTGAAAGAGATCTCCACTCTAAAAGCCAAAAACCGAGAAAAATCCCATTCGAAAGCCTCCAATCTTCTCCAAGAAATCAAACTAGGGTTTGAGAGTTTTGGTGGCTGTTAGACTTCTTAGAAAAACTGAGAAAAACGTAAAAAACTCATATATATATATATATTCATGTATGAACTCGTTCATACTCAAAACACATGGTATTATACTCATATACCATTTAATGATATTTACCATACTAAATATCCATATATCATAATTAATCTCATATTAATATATCATTCAAAAATTATCGGGGTTTTCCATATGGCTAAAAATAGTTGGTTCTACATGTTTAAATTAGAATGAAAGTATCCATACCAAGAATCAGCAGGCAACTGCATGAAGAGCATATCACATTGCATAATCTCAGCCCGCTGTTGTTGTATCCTGAAAATTACTAAGTTTAATTGTTGTACCCTAAAATTACTAAGTATAATGACCCCTCTTTGACAGCCACATGTCATGTTTACTTGGTCTACCTTCCCCTAATCAAGGAACCCGACCCGAGCATGCACATAGCCGACCTATTTTTAGAGACAGATCCGAGAGGAAAGGTATCTTCAGGCCAGTCTCTCAACCCTGACACAAGAAGAATAGCACTTCCAGGCCAGGATCTGCCCAATGAGGCGGAAATTCCAAGACGAATGATGCCTCTCCCTCGACTTCACCGCGGAGTGTCTCGAAAAACGAATTAACTTACCAGCCCCACGATGCCTAGCTACGTAGCCTTGTCACCATCGCATTTAATGTATGTTCAAGTTCATTATGACTCCTCCTCGAACAAGACCAGCTCTTCAACTCCCTGTCGTTGTTGCATTAAACAGGAGGATGACTCGCCTCCTCTGGGACCAACACATGTAAAATACCATCTGATCAAATCAGCCGCACTGACCCGATTAAGTTCCCAAAAAGCCCCCCACATATTTCCTATAAATAGGGATCATTTTTTCTGCATGAAGGTATGAACAATCTTGACTAGAAAACACTCTCAAACTAAATTCGGCACCTTTTAAACTACTTAATTTATGACTGACTTAAGCATCAGAAGACCTATCAGAGAACCCAACTCTGGTCTTCTAACGGTGTTACTATGTGCAAGAATCATTGTTCGTGGTCATAGTTAGCCATCAAAGGAGATAAAAGAGACCCTAAGCTCCTTCAAAACCATAATTAATCTCCAAACTAATTGACTGCCATCAACAGTTGCAATTCATTCATAAAAGAAAGAAAACCAAATTCCTCCAATGTACTGATACCATAGTACAGTGTAGTTTTAGCGCAAGCGTTGCTAATCAATGACACAACAATAGAGTTTCTCACTGTTATGACAGTATTTTATATTACCTCGTTGAAATGACTTAAAACATTGTGAAATCTACAAATTTATTAAACGAAAACAAGAGACCAAACATAAGTACAAAAAATATAAATACACAAATTTTGGACAAGGAAACCACATTTAGGGATCGTGAACAAAGGTGAAACTTGGATGAAATCTACTTCAAGAATCAGGAGGTTTGATTATTGCTTTCCTGAAGAATAAATAGAATCTTGCACACCACAATTATCCGAGATGGCACAAAAAGAAGTCGTATCTATTATATGAGACTTTCAAGGCATCAGGGAAAAAAGAAGGAAATTTCCCACTGAGACTTACAAGGCATCATCGAAAGATCTCATGCACGTACTATCACCAAATTGTAGAAAAGCCCCCTGTACTTCTATTGCCACAAACAGACACCTTGGATTCTCAAATCCTTGAGTTTCAAGTTGAATTCTCTCAAGTAAGAGGTCTTCAGATCAAAAAGTTGGATCATCATGAAAGACTGGCCCGTAGTAGAAGCTCATTCATACTTTTATCTGGGAAAAGTCAAGTACTAGAAAGAACTTGCCCGACGGTTGAAGTGGTATCTGATTTCTCTGCTTCAAAATATTTCCATCTGATTAAGAAGTCGTTTGAAAGTTTTCACGACTTTTCAGGTTACTGAAGATCCCATTATTGGCTGTATATGTGAAAGTTAACAGAAGGTTGGAGGAAGAATTGAAGAGCTGTATGTGAAAGTTCCAACAGGATGGTCAATTTGCAATTGGGCCCTGCGTATACCATAACGAGAATAGAGAAGGCACGAGGGTTCTTCCTGTTGGAAAAAGAAAAATAGAAAGAGAAGTCATTGAGCACCGCTGTTTTACTGATAAAGAATTTGCCACAGAAGGGAGAAGCCCTGAAAAGCACGTTTATAACTTCATATAATTCATTGGGTACTATCAATCTTTACCAAACCAGTTTTCAGAATGAATAGCAAGTCAGGTGATGCTAAAGAATCGATGCAGATGTTACACCTAGTCTTTTCCTTATGATGCTATAAAGCAAGGTGAAGGCCATGATGAATGTAAAATACCAAAGTTACAATGAAAATGATATAAATGTAAACATAAAGGTAATTGCACGTTAGTTAATTAACCCTTCTAATTGGCATACATGAAAGTGAAGACTGGTGTTACAACAACCCTGAATCACATCTTGCGTGGTCTGTGGTTGCCTAAGTTCCTAACAAGCCTCACCAAAAAGCAGTGAAAGGAGAGGCTTGCTTGCAGGGAAGCCTGATATTTGAATTTATTTATTCAAAAAGGACCAGAAGCTCACATAAGGATCTGAAATTTAATTATGCCGAAACCTGAGATCCTTTGATAAGGATCTGAAACTAATCCTAAAACACTAAGTGAGGGCCTTTTGTGGTAATATTTCCTACGCCTAATATATTGTAAAACTAATGTATTGTAAAACACATATGCTTATGTCCATAGTCTATGTAGTCCAAGAACTAATCAATGTATTGAGAACTAAATACCAAATTATTGTCCCCAAACTAGAGTTACCAAACAGACACTCCCCTTCTAAATAAAAGAAAACAACAGGAAAGTAGAGTAATTTGTAAAATGTGCTAACCTTGCTACTGATCTTCATTCAAAATATGTTAACCAACCAAATTTTTTATATAAATATATGTAACACCCAGTATATAATTATAAGAATGACCCCTCATATATAATTATAAGAATACCCCATTATGCGTTTGTATTATGTTCTGAAACTTGTATAGGTACCCAGAACCAAGATGTTAACAACTCAAAGATGAAACCGTAAAGATGTAATCATTTGACAAGACAGACATTCAGCTAGAAACATTTTCAGTTACAAATATTCTACTTTACCTACATTTAGTAGTTATTCGTAGTATTTAGTTTATACATATATCAAGGACCAGAATTTAAATTTCATGTGTCGTTCCTAAAGTTACTCCTCAGTTCTTAACTCCTTGTGGTTTTCTTTTCCTTCATTATTTTCTTTATATACATTAGGACTGGAAATTAGCCTGAGATCTGTCCTAGAAACATGGGCTTTCTATCGTCCTGGCTTGATCAAGGCATATCTCCAAGGTGAAAGGCCTCCTACAAAATGGTATAGTACTCAGGCCTAGATGCCGAATCCATTTGAGAAACGTTTACAAGCAAAAAGGATAATTTTTTAAACTTAGTACAAAGTAGGAAACTGAAACTATTATCTTTCCAAAAAAGAATAAAACTCTCAATGACCAAAACAAAATCAAAGACTAAAAATCTAGATGCCCAATATAGAAAAAATTAAGATAATTTTTTTCCAATACATAATCACGTGGAAATTAGAAAAGCAATGAGTAAATCTGTCATTTGCAATGACATCTAATCAGCCAATTTCTATCATCACTTTCTGATAATAATCTTCTAATGCCTTCCCAAGCTTAATCCCTTCTTCTTTTTTCCTTCTCTTTCTTTTTTTCTTTTTTGTGGAAGATGATAGCTTAATCTCCTGTATATTACTGATCATATAGAAATAACTTGACCTTCTATTTCTACAATTTGTGTAAGTATCCAGGTCATAGAAGTGGAGCAGTATCAGGATCAAGTTGAAACATTAAATGGAGCGCAGGAGTCTCCCTTAAGAGCTTGCTGCTCTGGCTCTGGCTTCTTCTACCCTTATCATGTTGCCTTATGTTGTATTCAGCCCAAACTAGCAACTTCTAGCTTCCTTCAACATTTATCCATGAACGTAATGCTTAGCTACAACAAATATTCTCAGTAAGAAGTCCTTTAATAGTTACAATTTATCTTTCATGGAACTAGCTATTCTCCATCACCATCTATGCTTGGGAGCAAACATGGAAATTGCATCTATTCCAACTAAGGTATCATTAGCTACTTGATAAATTAGTAATCAATACAACTTTTTGGCATATACTATCTGGATAAAAAGTCATATGCAGAATAACCAGATTACAGTGGCATGGAAGCAGTTATGTATTTGAGCAGAATATATGGCATGGAAGCAGTCATATGCAGAATAACCAGATTAAAGTGGCATGGAAGCAGTTATGTATTTGAGCGAATATATGGTTGTTAATGCATTGTCTGCGCTTCTGTTTGAGCTAATGCCATATAAGCAGAAGACAAGTGTGACTTACAGGATAGGAACATTTCCAGCTGGAAACTCGAAGTAACACTTGAGGAACAAGTAGTTGAGCATAGTTTGAAGTACTCAGTGAAAAAGGACTTTGAATACGTTCTGATAGAGGCCAGTTTGTTAATTCACAGAATATGACTGTTGTCACCACCACTCAGATGTTTGGATATCCCCACCATCTTACTAGTCTTTTTACAGTTACTCATAATAGCTTTCTTGTTTAAGATATATCCTCCCTCTTACATGTCACCAACTCAACCTTTCTGCTTTGATAAAACTCCCTTATTCTCCTTGGCTTCTCCTACTCTTCAAAAAAATTACTGTTCTCCAGCAGAATAATGTCATCCACGATCCAAAACCAACAACAAGAGCCCAATTGGTCATCATTAAGCACCCAAATCAACACCCAACTCCTGGAACACTAGGGAAAAGCCCAATCCACCCTTCAGTGATGGAGTCAATGATTGCCTACCCTTCACCGGTTCCCTGTCAATCACCGCATGCAAGCTGACCGTCTGAGCTTGTACTTCTCATATGTTATTGCAACTAAAGCCATGTATTCCTTTGACATAATTTACTGCTGTTCTGGGTGTTGCAGCATGCAGTTGAGGGCTCAATCAATTGAGCAGTTTCACCTATAGTGTCATTTCCAGCCACAACTAATGTGCTTACCTGGGGTCCATATAGCTAGAAGGTACGGGCAGGGATCATCAACCTCTCTTTTGTCCAATTGAAATATATTCGAAGGCACATCTTACTCCATCCAAAAGAGGATGTGAATCTTAAAGTTCGTAACTGCAAGGATCCAAAGATAAGGTTAGCATGTATAAATGATAACTCAGCAATAATTGCACATATCAAACCTGCATCAATGATTCCTCAGGAATGTTTAATATCTGTTAAATTATTGCTAGCCTGTTTTTTTTATAAGCAAGAACTAGCAAGGATAATAGTGTAACATACACTAGATGTTCTGAACGCAACCGGTTCATATTCTTCAGCTTAGGATGTATGCGTCTTAGATCAACCTGATGGAGGGGGATAAGTTAGTGAGGTGATGGTGGGCGATGGGAGGGCAGTGAGGAGTGGTGAAGAGCAGTTGATGATGGCTGAGGGGAAAAGAGAGGAGGACAGAGAGGTCTTTAGATCATTGGCGAGGTCGGAGCTTCAAGGAGTTGAGGAGGGGAGAGTTGATGATGTCCATGCACTGTTCAACCTTCATAGCAGAACAAGGAATACTGTCTTCTGGCAATGTCACCAGTGGAAGGGCCAGCCTGAGAACCCCTTCTGCAGTATCCGGCAGCGCACATGG